TAGCAAATTCTACCAGGGAAGGTGAAACACAAAGACTTAAAAGTTGCACCTGGGACTACTGCTATGGAATAAGCAAATAAGAAAAATCAGGGTACTGAACAAGAATTGCTACACATAGATCAAGAGAAAGAGATATCTGTGGAATGATAGTTCATTTTCAACTCATATTTAGTACAGTTTTGGCATTGCTACTTCTCTTTCAGTCATAAGTTGTTAGTTAAAAGTGTAATCATTTTTCTTTCCAAAGGATGCTTCTTCGGGAAACGGTCCACTGGCACCAAAGGGAGATCAGGCTTTAGTCTGGAGATAGGATGCAACTTCTCAAGCAATATCCCTACTTCTGCTAGCAAACATTTACTCAAATCTAGTTTGTGGACCTCTTCCACTATATATTATGTCCATATAACAGTCTGCAAAGTTCATATTTCTAGAAATTTTTTCAGAAAAAGGGTTAGTATGTTTTTCAAAGAATAAGTAAACAAGGACTGTAGTGCATTGTCTAGTTCTCCATCTAGTAACAGCAAATGTCTGTTTTTTTAAACTTCAAATTCTGTCTCTCAAGATATTGGAATAAATAATTCTGAGAGCTCTTGAAATGAGCAAAAGCTGGTTTCTGATGGATCTGTGCTTTGAAGAAGATGGACTTTGGAGACTATGAGGTATAACAAACCCGACAGCCAAGGCTTTTTCTGTAGGGTCTATTAGAAAGAGCTTTCACTGATGTCTGAAAGGGGAAGTCTGTCCTCTTAGTCCAGGCACTGTTACCAGTATTTTCCCACACGAAGAACTTAATTAACTTTTAGTTAGAACTTAAGTTAGAACTTAAGTTAGAACTTTGAGAAGAACTTAATTAATTTTTAGATTTTGATGCTTTGTGGAATTTCTTTGAAACCAAGCATTGGCTCATGAGCAGAAAAACCACACCTGCACATTCACACACACACACAAACAAGCATGTATAAGTTTAACTTATAATTAGACTTAGCAGTATAACAGCATAGCAGTAGCAAGTATAACTGCTAAAGCTTTGTGTCTCTAAGAATGAGTTCTTGGAAGCATACAGACCTAAAGCTTCCCACTCCATAACTGAAATGGCAGAAGTATACAAAATGTTTTTAAATGATCTCAAACACTTTTCAGAGTAGACAATTTAATTATTTTTCCATTCCTCCTGTCATTCTTCTAAACACATTTTAAAAGGTACATAAGCATTGTTTATAGTCATAGATTCTTTCATTCATAAAATTTATCCATTTACACCTACGGCGCTTAATCCATCTTTTTATATCAGATGAACCTGTAATGAACTTGTGAGTCTTCAGGGTCTGCAAAACAACGTCTTGTCTTCAATCTAAACAGCTGTGTTGTTAAAATTTCTGTTTACATACAACTTGAGGGTACCATTTGCTTCACAATTAAGTCTATAGCACCTACTAACATTCAGCTAACCAGATTGTTAATTTACCAAATGTTTGGTTTATGCTTTCTTATATAAATAGAAAATGTCACTCATGAAATTGAATGTTTCAAAGGTTCATGGGTTATCATCTTTGCACTTCTCAGGTTACTTGCTTTTTACTTTTCCCTTTCCTCAGTGCCCCGAGTTACTATGCAGAAAGGTTTGTCCCTCCCCCCTTATCTCCTCCGTTCTCTGCCCTGACCCACGCTTCTGCCTTCACAGAGATCAGCACTGAATGTTTTCCTCAGAGTCAGCCATCAGTAACTCAGCTAACTTTAGACCAAAATCATCAGTAACAAAGAAAACCCTGGGTTTGTAATTAATTTAAATAGAAAAATGTTATAAAATACAACTCCTTATTATCATTATCTATGGTATTGTACTTAATGACCAGTATTTATTTTTGTTAGCTCTTGGGTGTATGCCTATGAGAGTATCCACTGGCATGGAGAATCCAGTAACTAAATTACTTTTGCCTTTACCTCTCCTAATACTTACATCCAGCTCATCTGAATCCTCACGTTCCCTTAGGATTGTCTTTAGATATAATTAGAGGCTAGTGCAACTGCTTGATAAATAGGAGCATTTCTCTGTAAACAAACAATACAACGTCAGCACTTCTGTCCTCTGATTTCTGAGTACAATTTAATATATCACCCTTGAGTAGCATACAGCCTGTCCCCTAATGTGAGATTCATTTAACCAAATGCAGATACAGCTGAGCCAGTCCCTCATTATAGTCAGAAGAGATGAATGGGAAGTTGTAGGGTTCACTTCATCTCATCCCTAAGTAGATATATAAAGCAGATGAACCTATTTTTGTGCGTTTTTCTCTACTGAAAAAAAATGGAGAAATTGCCTATTTTTCTCCATTCTCTTTTGCAAAGACACTTAGGGTGACTAACTTAGATATAAATGTCCATTATATCCTAACTCTCAAATTGGTTTATGATTGCCACAGCTAGACACCTCTTCTTTTCTCTGAAACATGGCTGCATTTCTGCTGAAGTTTCTCCTTGATCATTGCTTTTCTCAAAGGAAGGTTGTTGAAAAGTGGCCTGTAAATGGTCACAACTCCAGACCTTCCTCTAGCCCCTTGGGAAGTAGTCCAGATCTACTGCCAAACTCATTAGTTTCTGTGGACCTGTGGGAGGGTAAAGAGGCCTTTAGAAATCCCTTCCCTAGGACGTAATTTATGACCTTGATGTCTCAATCTGGCTAATGCTAATTCATCCAGAAAATGAAAGAGAAAGTCCAGTTCAGGTGTTTGGAGTTCCAGGCCTTTTACCAACTTTCTGCTTAACCTTGATTTAGTCACAGAGTATAAATGCTTCTCTGCTGACACTGTGTAGGATGTCACTTCGAAGCACCGTCAACAGCTACAATCATACATGGGGATGTATGTTTAGGAAGATCATTTTTTGCTCAAACACTCTGTTTTCTGTCTCACCTTCACATACTTAAAGCCCTTGTCAAACATCCTGTTCAAAGTCAAATTCGGCTTGTAGGTTACCTTCTCCTTAGGCTGATAATGCTCAGCAGCAGCTGATGTGTCCCTGAAGATTTGTCAGCCCGGAAAAAATTTCTAGAAGTATGCAGAACTGCCTAGCTAGCCTACATGTTTGGAGGATGCTATTAACCAGCTCTGGCATATGAGCTAAACATAGCAGTGTTCAATTATGTACCGTTTAGAAGGAAAATGGGAACACTGAGGATGCAGCTGCATGTCAGCACACGTGATGAGAGGACAAAGGTTGTTTTGCAAGGCATACATATAGTGTGAGAGGCAAGGCAGACGACAAGCTCTGAGGACTGCGTCCTCACACTCTGGACTGTCACACTCAGTAAAGGTAGATTTGACAGATGGTAACACATCACAAGAAGCAGTACGTTGCGTGAGAATTATTTAAAAGTAAAAACTCTTACTCTTGAAAACTAGGCTCAATTTACTGAAAAATTGAAGAAGCAGGGTGTCTCTAAAGACTAACTATAATGCATACACCAAGATATACTAGTAAGAGGATGTTCAGGAGTAATAGGGTTTTGTCAGGAGTCCATTTCTACTTTGTCAGCTCCAAATTAATTTCAATACATCTTTCCCCCCCCCACACACACACAAATAGTATGGGATCAGACTTTGTAAGAAAAAGAAATTGCAATGTTATAGAACAATGTAAGATTAGCAATTATTTATTTAAAATCATCATTAAGATTGCATTTGGATTATGCAGTTAATTGACAAAACAATCTGAAAATCCTGAATTATGGAAACTCCTGAACAAATTTTTTAAAACTCTACTGCCTACCTATATACCTTTTAAAATTTGCAAATGCTTCTTTGAAGTAACAATTCTTTGACGGGTTGTTTCTCAGGATTTTAGACTTGCAGCTATAACTTCTCTGATCTTCATTAATGCAGTCAATTTCTTGCATTTAGGACTGCATAAATAAATATTTTTGACAATTAGTATATTTTATTTACTTCAAAGCAAAATGAATAGCCATAAAAAGGTAAATAAATTAACATTTAAATATGGAAATTTGCTATTTATTACTACAAACGGCTTCTAGAATGGGCATGTTCTTTTATTACTCTTAATTATTGCAATTAAGATTTTTATATGTTAATTAGAATTGTTTTGGCACGGAAATTTCCACCTCTCTCTCTCTCAAAGCAGGTATGCAAACACTTTCTTAAATTGTTTTCTGTTTCTAGTATATGTAAATAAGGAAAAGGACAACATAGAGCACTTTGAAATAAAAAGAGGCATAATTCCATAAAGTAAAAATGAACTTAAAAACAATTTAGAATGTTTTTTGTATTTTACAGCTTTAAATATCTCAGCTAGAAACAGGAAAATTGAAACACTCAGGACACCTCTCAGAAAAATAATGAAAATATTTAAGAAGTAATAATCAAATTTCTAAAACCATAGGCAGTGTGAATAAGTAAAGAAATTACTTAAGATAAATAGCCTAGATTTTAACTTAAGGTGTGAAAAATAAAATACACTAACGTGAAGAAAATTCCCTGGTTTGTTTTCCAATGAATAGTTCTGTACATATGCCAGCTTCTCCTGTTCTCTTGTTGCTTTAATTGCCCCTACAGTTTTATCTTTTGTAGCCACTCCGATGTGCAAATCTTTAAATATTTCTCAGGAAGCTTGTTAGAGCCTGGATGTCGAATTCCATCACCCCTGAGAGTTTCACTCTCACAGCAAACTGTAGGTTAGTAAAATTCTTCTCTTCTTAAATTACAGTGGGAAACTCACAAGCCCGGAGACCGACTATGGCCTGCAACTTTATTTCATGTTACTTGGGATCATATCATTTTTTCCTTCTACATTACTGCTGGCTAACACTTAGCTGTGTTTTAATTTATGGCCTACCGGTGTGTCTGAAAGAGCTATTTGGCCCTCAGTAAGGGAAAGGATATTCCAGGTTTAACTGAGTACATACAATTCTACTTTGTGCCCTCTTGAGTCTTCTATGGAAACTGTGGCTCATTGAAGTGGACAGTAACTATTAGGAGTGTACTTACTGCATTGAAGTTGGGGAAGAGATTGACTGCTGCTGCAGTGTCCAGAGGAAATGGAAGAAACGGTTTAATATCCAGCGATGGCTGCAAAGGTGGAGCAGGAGGACGCACTAGGGCTGGAAGAGCAGGGCTCTGGCATGTACCACCTACACACAGAAAGAGACAGAAGACATTCAAAAATAATACGATTACAAATAAAACCCCAAAAGCAACACAAAAAGGCCACTATTGGGTTAAACATATGCATTTTTATTTGCCCACAAATTAGTGCATTATTGGAAAAGAGTGCAGCTGACTTAAAGATTGTTGGTTATAATTTTTTTGCCAGTAATTGCTTCAGGTATCAATCTTTCACTATTTAAAATCAGCTAATAAACCATTTCCCTGGATTATTAGGAATGACAGCTCAGCCTACAGCTGACTTCCCTTTACAACTTCAGCTAGTCTCATTCTGATAAAATTTCAGTGTTGTACCCCAGCCTTATTACTCAAATTTCTTGGGCAAACTTTGCTCAAAAAGGAAAAAAAAAACAAAACAACCACAACAAACCCAGCTGCTCTGCAGACTTTTCATTTTTTAATTAAATGCTCACGTATTGAGCTCACAGCTTCAGAGTCAACCTAAACCTAGCAAACACAACGTACCTTGCTGCCTCAGCAGTTGATCAGTACAAATCTATTGCAAACACGCTACTGAAAGCAGAGTTGCAGCAGCCCCTGAAACCCTGTTCACCCTGCACTTCAAAGGGCCCTGACTAACGCTCTCGGCAGGAGTTGCAGGAGGTGGAGCTGATTCCAAATTCTTGTAAAGCAGAAAGCTCCTCCCCACTAAGGCTACCAACCACCCGTTCTGTGGGAACATTATGCAAACAAAGAAATGCCCTTGCATACCAACAAGCAGCTACCTGTTTGCAGCGGACCATGTTTTACTTGTTTGTTTGCCCCCTGTTGCAGACAACTGAGAGCTGGGAGGATTCAAGCCCATCCTCTGCTTCCAGTGTCTCCTATGTTTTGGTTACCTTCCAAAACATCAATTCCCTGTTAATTAAAGACTATTTGGATCCTAGGAAACTGTTAAAATATGCCAGTGTTCTTCTAATCCGAGAGGCAGGCAGCAGACTGTAAAAACCTGCTGGTCAGACTCCAAGAAACATTTAAAAACCGTAAAGGGAGCTTTACCCTACTCATTCAACAGAGAGACAGGCAGACAGACCAACAGAGGGAGAGATTAGAAGTCTGTTTCTTTTTTTCTCTCATACGTACAGACGCTGCATTAGACGAACGTTTTTAAGAGCTCAAACATAAAGTAGTGAGAATGGTATAAGCAATCTCTCCATATTTGGCTAGCAAATCTGCTAACCAGGGTTGCAATTTAATGCTTCTAATTGAGAGCTAACAGCACACCATTTAATTAACCAGTTGTAGCAGACCATCAGTAGTTCTGCTTCTAGGTATAAAATCAGCTGGAGCCAAGTTTTTCCAAGACAGTATTTTGTGCCAACTTTCAGCTCCTCTGTGAAGCGTTTCACTAGGCATCATTGAAAGGAAAGCATTATCCACTAGTAAACCAGCAGTATTAGCTTAGGGTTCATTCCAATCTCACGCTAGTTTTTGCCCTAGAGGAACCGTTTCATTGTTGGAGTATTTTCTACATTTACCTCAGTGTAAGAGTGTACCAAATCAGACTCTTAGAATGAAGTAGCTAAGGACACAGGCAAGAGAAGAGCAGAACGTAAAAGGTTTTGCTTTCCGTAGCTCAGTAGAATAAAACCATCAACTTTTTAATGATAGTGTAACATTGAATTGTAAGACAGTAGAACGACCGACCATAATCTAGATAAGCCACTGGCTTGGCCATTGCTATGTTCCCACAGAATTATTACAATAGAAATGTAAAAATAAACTTGTCAGAATGATGATAAGGTAGTGTCACACAGGCCACTCTTACTCCTCCTGAACAGCAAAGGCCTATAAAGATGTGTATTAGATGCTGGAATTATTTAATTTTTCTCATTTAAGGCTTTTACAGATCATGAAAAGAAGAAGCCACCCGTAGTGATAAAGATCTCATTAGAAAGTCTGTAGGTTGCACCTGAGATTGTACAGAAGCACACAGAAATGCCATGGTGAGCTTTAGTCTGGCAACAGCAAAGAAATTAAAACTGATTCAGTATCCTCCATTTCACACACACAAATGCAAACTGGATTCAGAAATGCTGCACATTGTTGGCTCTTAGCAGGGAACTACATCTTCTAGTGTATTATCTCAGTGCTGTGGAGGAAATGTTCAGCCTCACAGGTTCTGACTACCTACAGCGACAGCATTACTATCCCATACGCTTGTGGTATACCATGCCATAAGGGATGAAATAGTTCTTTCTGTGATCCTTTCTTGTCGCATGACTAGGCACTCACCCACCTGCCTCTGCCAGCCAGTCATCTGCACAAAGTCATCTGGGGACAAGAACATACTTTAAAAGGAAAATTTCAGCCAGCTCTGCAGGACATTGGCTGGGACTCAGAACCTCTGGAACAGAGTTTAAAATCTACCACAGTCCTGGCCACAGTGGCACAGAAAATGAGTATATTCAGGAGTACAGCTGCTCTCTGGTTTTGCAATAGTGTCAGACACTTCCCTTAATGATGGAGCATGTGATAGGTATCACAAAATTTGAGTTTACTGTTGAAAGAAAAGTTTCTAATTTTTATGGCTGCAAAAATTGGATTTTTTTTTCCATTTGACAAGTGCAGAAGCAACCATGAAGCAATGGCAAGCACTTTTGTGACTCAGCTTAACTGAAAAGCCTTTGGAAAATATTTGGGAACGTTAACATTAACTACTTCCATTCTAATCCATTAGCAGAAGTGTGGAAAAGCGTAGAAACCCATAGCAGAGCTCTTGCAGAGAACTTGTAGAGAAATTCCTTTTGTAAAGAAGAAAATATCTAGGACAGAAATTACAACAAGAAAGAAACACAAGAGAATAGAGAAAGCCAAACTGAAGGAGAAAACACAGCGATGTAGTAAAACTCATAAAGCACAGTTGCCTTTGTATCTAAGTGATGCCATGTATGACAACAGTATACTTAGAAAATAGCAGCGATACCTATATGACCTTATAGCAGGACTTAGAGAGGTACTTTTAGTTATCCAGTGTTACTGAACTATCCATTAAGGCTCCTCATGATTGTTTTGCTGTTCTGGCACTTTTCGTATCATAAGTTTTTGCACAAAGATCTCCATAGCTTTCCATGGGCAGGTGCAACGCTGCTGTCAGCAGAGCAATCCTGCTCTGCTAGGAGGCTGCCTACTAAATCACGTGTTGAAATATTTGCATTCCACTGTAGATTTTTCCTTAATCTCCACACAAAGAGATGGCTCGATGCCACAAACCTCCTGTCGGCAATGGTTGGAGTTCCATATTGACGAATAAAGTGATGATGTTTGACATTAACTTCTCAGCCCTCAGACAGGGTTTGTCCACAGCCTGCGTTTGATGTTCTGTATTATTACCTGGAGTTCAGCTCAACGTCACTGGCAAAAGCTAGGTGCATGCTTGGCATGACGTAAGAGACACAAAAGTCCTTCAAAATTAAAAGCAAGACAGGCCTAAAGTTACATCTGATGAGTAGTGTTCTACCATTCCTTAAAACAGGAAGAAACAACTTATTTACTAACGCCAGTTTTACAGGTTCGTGATATTATGCTTGAACGCCTTTTTAAAGAAGGAAAATCTATCAGAACATTCAGATCCTGATCTAGAGATGAATGTTCCAGATGTCTGGGAAATTCATGTCAATGCTTTGAACTTCATTTTCTTTCAAAAGGAGTACAGGAATAATACAACATAGAAGCTCAGCAATTAACCAAGTTTGAAGTAATCATTTATTCCTTCCAATTTCACACAATTTAAAACAATTCACACAATTTCACACAATTTAAAACACAGGCATGATAATCTCTTGGCCAGAGGCACTGGCAATACATCCAAGCTAAACGTGAACAAACAGGATTGAAGAAAAATTTGCCACTAACATCTGCCCCTTCCTAGAACTCGTTGAGACAGTTGCTGAAATTCTGAGAAGTTCAGATAACTCCTTCAGTCTCAATACAACTGAATAATTTTACAAAGGGATGCACTTTTGTGTCTCCAGTTGGGACTAGATACTTTGCCTTACCACTAGGTAATCTGTTTTGCAACATTTTTACATGAAGGCCAGAAGCAGCGCAGCATTTTGTCCTGAGCATAGAGAGCCTACATGGCGCAGAGCCATGTGTGCCCCACAAGGCCCATGCTCTGTATAGCGTATCCTACTCAAGAAGTTCTCATTTTGAAGCTGCTAGTGGTTTGAACTGCATAACTGCGATATCTTTCTTGCCTGTACCCTTAACCAAGGGAAAAAGACAAAAGCATTCAGATGAAGAGAAGATTCTTGCAGGTTCAGCCTCAAAGTGTCCATTCCATAGAGAATTCACACATTTATTTTGTTCTGAGTTTGAAGAATAAATACTCTTTTCCTCCAATTTTGGCTTCAGATACCACGTTTCACTACAGAATTAAAAGTTATTTTAAAATGAAAAGTCAGTCCAAAATGAAGAAATAAGATTTCTTTAAAAATCAATTGTCTTTTTACCTTACCTTATTTTCCTCCCAGTTCTTTACAAAAAATTAACATCTCCATGTGAAAAATTTCACTTTCAATGAAATAGCATTTTCAGATAAGAAAGTGTCCCATGAAATTTTTTCTGTCCAGTTAACCTGAGAAATTCCTCAGATCACTGCTAGGTAAAGAGTACAAATATCTCTGGGTATTGCCCCTAATTATCTTGATTAGAACAAGTGCAAAGGTTGAATATGCACCAGGGAAACAAAAGAAAATAGAGTGAAAGCATAATAGGGTGGGGTTTTCTCTATATACTGAATAATAAATAACAAGGGTTCCTCTAGGTTTCTGGAGAAGCTGATGCCCTTATCTCTCAGGTCCCCTACCATACTGCTTAACAATCTGGCAACCATATATTGCTGCTTTCCGAGATATGGCTGTAAAGCAAGATCAGCTACGTCTTCCCCTGTATAACCTCTCCTCATGCACATCCTTTAACTCACCTGCAGATTATTTTCCAGAAAAAGAATCACTAGATCTCT